AGCTGCAGCTCCCAAAGCCACGCCCCAGGTTCTGCCACCAAGCTCTACACAGGTGTTGTTCTAACTGCAGGGCACAATCCATTAGTGGATTGTGAAATCAATTCAGTGTTCGGAATCAGTGATTTGGCAAACAAAAGAAAGAGTGCAGTACAGGAACTAATGGCCAAGTACTGGTATAAAAAACCCATTAGATATGTACACACAGATACTCATACACCACACTGTGATATAAACTGTATTCCGTAGTGTGGATCATGGTCAGAAGGACCTGAGAGCCACTGTATGACATTTTCTAAGCAGCCTCGGTTCCTTCCATGTTTCCTCAGTCACATAAAACTCCATCTGCAGCAAGCCACTCGCGGTCCCCCAAACACGTCTTGCTCTTTCACTTCTATGCCTGCGAGTGCACACGCCAGGCCTGGTGCTAGGCACTAGAAATGCACAATGAGAAAAACCAAGGTCTTGACCACATGACATTCAACCATCTAGAGAGACAAATATCCTACAGGTCACCCTGATTAATATATAACTGTGAACCAAAATAACCAGTCTAAGTGAAACAATGGATTTTCAAGAACGATGGATTTATCAAAGGATTTTGGACAATCTATTTATCAATGACTTTTCAATGGATTTATCAAAGGCAATTAACCAGTCTAGGGGGACAAAGGAGGCATCCCTGAAGAAGAATCAATTAGCAGAATCTAAAGAATATCGCAGGGTTAACTAGGTAAAAGAGTAGAGAGAGCATTCCAGACATAATGGAATATAAGCAACCCTGGGAGGAGAGGGGACATGGCATATTTGAGAAACTGAAGAAGAGGCCAGCATGGCAGAGCCCATGAACAAGTGGGAGAGAGATCCAAGATGACTGGGAAACCTAGCAGTGACAAGACCAGGTGGGTCTAATGGGCTAGGATTTTGTGTTCTGTCCTCAGAGTAAGGGGAAGAAACCACTGGAGGATTTCAACAGAGATAATAAAAAGGGAGTTGTGAAAACACGGTGTCTACAGTGTGGATGGGGTTGGGGGTGAAAGGAGTGGCTGCCTGGGGGCGAGTTAGGAGACTACAGAATAGTCCAGGCGAGTGGTGACAGTGAACTGATTTCCTGTCTTGGAAATCAGGGGGAAGGCAAGAGAAGTGAACAGAGGCTAACTCCTAGGTTCTGGCTTGTACAGCTGGCTAGATGGTGCTGCCAGCTAAGAGTAAACTGGAAAAGACCAGGTTTGGAGATTATGGATTCAACCTTAGAGAGGCTGCATTTATGGTGACTTCGAATTAGGTATGTGTCCCGTAAGAACCTGGAGTCACGAGTTCACAGATGGTAAATGAAACTGGGCATACGAGTGAGGAAGATGCCTGGGGTTGAGCCCTGAAGGCCTCTCTGTTTCCTGGTGTTCTCTCCTGCCTGTTGTAAATGCGTGTGATTACACCTAGTTAACCACACAATTATATCTACTTTAAAGTTCAGATATAGAAATACAAAAACAAAAAGTGGAAGTCTGTTCACTCCTTGGGTAATTAATATTAACAGCTCAATATATACCCATATGTTTTAAATGGGATTATGCTATGCACACTTTTCTATAATGTTTCTTTTTAAAATCAACAATATAGTAAAAATACTCTTCTATATCAGAGTATATATAGTTCTATCTTACTCATCTGAAGGGCAGCAAAGTATTGTATGGCAGGACTGTGCCACAATTTAACAAACCCCCTTGGTTACCTGCTCATTCTACTGTCCCCCTCCTGCCTTGCTCACCGAATCCCGATTCCATTCCAACAGCAACATGGTCAGCCTCAGGCGATGGTTCATGATTGGCTTGAGTCAATTAAGACCATGCTGTTGTCCTCCTTTTCTTTCTTATTTTTTTAGGCTTTAAAATATTTTTTGAAAATGCATTGATTTTAGAAAGAGTCATAGAGTAATACTGAGTTGGTGTTTCACTTATTTATGCATTTACTGGTTGCTTCTTATACGTGCCCTGACTGGGGATCAAACCCACAACACTCGGTATACTGGGATGATGCTCTAACCAAATGAGTTATCCATCCCGAGCCTACCGCCTACCTTTTCAATTTCCCTTGCAGCTTTGGGTAGTCATGTCATCAGGTTCTGGCTAATGAACTTAAAGGGAAGTCTGCTATGATGGCTTCTGAGTAAGCTTTTGCTTTCCAAATAAAAGAATGAACATGAGTACCACTCTCTCTACCCTTTCTCCCTATTTTGGACATAAATGTGATGACTGAGGAAGCTCCATAAGAAACTTTGCAACTACAAAGCCATGAGCCAGCACTGAGAGTAGTAAAGCAGAAAGGCGGAGAGGAAGCCTGAGCTAACACGAATAGACACACACGCGAACACTGACTCATTTTAAAGGATCCAAATGTATTTCCAACTTTAAAGTCTAAAAAAGTAAAATAAAACATTCTGAATCAAAGATTCAAAGACGTAAGTGATGCCCTACAAAAATAAGCAGCACATTTAGAACAAGATGCTAGAGAAAATACAGCTGTCCCTGAGATGCCTTTACGTGTGGGACCAGAAACGCCTTTCTGGCTCCCTGCCAAGCAAACACCTGTGTCCTGCAACTGGACCTTTGAGCACAACCGCTGACACCTGTCCCGCTGTACTTTGTGATTTCTACCTCCTTTTGGCTGCATTTTGAAAATGTACCACATTAAGAAATAATCTTTTACATGGAAAGTTGAAAGGTAATTGATTTGGGTGAACCATTACTTTTCCTAAGCTTATAACTAGTATAAAAATGCAACAATCAGAAGTGAAAACTGTTTAAAAGAAAAAAAAATCCTCTCTTAAGAGAAAGTGCTTCCTAGCTATTTATTCTTGAAAATACTCCATTATTTTGCCCTAATGTTGATGGTTTCTTCTGTTCTCAATTTTACCAGCTTCTCATGTTCTGACAAAAATATAAGATGTTAGATTTCTCAAATTCAGCAACTTATAGCTCCACTTTAATACTTAAAAGGCTATTCAATTAATATATAATGCATAATGTATTAAATTACTGTATACTGTGTGAATAAACTATAATTTAAGATATTAGAAACAAAATGATTTTATGTGTAACCCATATTGCACATAATTCATACCTATGCTTCTAAACAAACAAAAGCTCACAACTGTACTACTTTTAAAGTTTACAAAGTGCTTTTATATACATTTTCCCATTTTCTACTCTAGACAGACATGTGAGATAAATATTATTTCACAGTTGGAAATCAGACTCAGACATTACGAGTGCTTTAACCACTATACAGTATAGCCCTGAGACTTTGATCTGCAAATGGTCTGAATAATGCAAATATCACATACATTTCGATTTTTATCACCATTTTCAAGTTTCCATTTTCTTAACAAAAAAAAACAATGAAAAGTTTTCTGCAATCCAATAGTAACAATGGGAATACATAGATAATATACTAACCCAACAAGTAAGAGGTACCAGAAAAAAACCTCTACTTTGGTAGTTCTGTTGTTACTTACATACAGGGCACCAGAACCAAAACCACATTTAAGTGAGTAACATTTTTCTGTTTTAGAGAAAATAATGCAGGCAACTCCTGTTGACTCCGAGTCTAATGTACGTATATATGTGTTAGGAGGAGTAGGTGGCCAGGAAGGATACAGAAAAATACTTAATCCAGATCTGGACCTGTAGGGCCTCTAATTATCCCAGCACAGGCCTAAAGGGACTCGACAATTTGGTAACATGTCTCATCTTCAGTAATGAATCTCTTTTTTATTTTCCCATTCCCTTTGCTTTCTAAGCACCCTATACCATTTAGACTAGAAATTCCAACAGGTAGCCTTTCTTTCTGAATTATCTTTTCTTCTGTACAACTGTTTTTGAGAATTTCCCTTTCCTATTCCAAATCTTGAAGACATTTCTTTATAGTAGATGAGGCTTATGGTCAGTGCCAGGAAAGAGTCCGGCATGAATTTCACAGCAAAGAGCTGAGAGAAACTCTGAATGAAGGGCAGTGGTCACTGGCAGAGCAGAGCTGCCTGCACTCGGAAAGCTGCGTGCAGTTCTCCAGCATGTGAAGAGATCCCTTTGTGACTGCTCTGACAATTTAAGAAGGAAAATTCTGGCTGGTAGTGAGTTTAAATTCTTGGTTCAAAGAATCACTCTTTTTGATATAATGTTTTTATTGCATTTGAGAACACTTTCAATAAATACTTCAGTCTGAGACTTGGCTAGGTACTTTACTCTGTATTAGAAATCAGATTTCTGTGGCAAAACTCTATTGCCAGAAATGGGATTTATCAAAACTACAAATGCTAGCACACTGAATATTTCAATATTATACTCAATTGTTCATATCTAAATATTTCAGCTATGAAACAAACCAATGTAAATGCTTAATATATAGTACAAATCAACAGATTCTTCACAGAAGAAAACATGAAAGGCTAATTTTCTATTTGTCGTCACCTGTTCGTTAGTTCTTCAATAACATTACTTACGTTATTTCAAGGATAAAACTTATGCACCACTGCCGACTTTTTCTCAACATTTTTTATCTAAGTTCTAAAGGGCATAAACAAGAATGTATATAATCAGAATTGTTTTTATAAACTTTTGGGTTTTTTGTTGCACGTGTTACAATAATGAATCTATGCAGACAAGGACAAATGTACATTTAAATCATTAGTGGGTACATGAATTTTACCTACATGGCTAGCTACTTATATGCCTCTTATAAATGACAAGATAAAAATAACAAAGTTTGATAAGCTCATCCATGCCCTGTGAACTTTAATCCATTCATCAAATAACTTGATTAAGTCACTATTTATTAGGGTTTTAAAAAAACTACAAAATACACTTTATTACACATTTCTGAATCATGAGGGGGCAAACTGTGATACAGTACCCTCATGCCACTGGCTCTTTTGGAGGGAAAAGTTCTTCAACGAAATAAGAGTTTCCAGACTCTGTTAAAAAAGTTTGAACTGTTCCATGACTGACCTTCACTCTACAGTCCCTTTGACCCAAGGCACTGTCCCTGGTGCATCTTGTTGAGGTTTAGTTTCTGGGAAGTTTTCAGCAAACCTCTCTCGTGCTTTCTCCCAGTTCTTTTTGCTCTTGTTTTGGAGAAGGTGGACATCTTCAATTGAGCATGGTTTGCCTGTCCCCAAGCCTGCATGTGTTCGCCGAAGCTGAAGCTGGATCTGTTGAGCAGAGGGCTTATTTACTGTGCAAGTCAAAGCACACTGAAATCTGCTCTGTGCAACTTAGTATTTTAACTATAATTCTTTGATTTAGAAAAGATTAATGCAAAAGAAAAACCTATCTAACGCAACAGATACAGACAAGAATACCTACATGATTATAAATGGAACTTCTATAAAAACTCATTTTTCTGCATTGTCTTGCCTGTCAATAAGGACAGCTGTCGCTGCTCCTAAAATAGCACTGAATTTCACTGAAATGCTGCAGACTCTGCCATCCCACTCTACCCAAAGGTAAAGGCAGTAGATGTACTTAAACCTACTGTCCTACCCTCACCTAAGTAAGTGAACAGGTAGGTTAAACATGAAGAGCCACAAAAAGAATGTGATTGCTTAGTTTCATAAGAGGGGAATACTTCTCATTATTTTGAGAACCATTAAAAGCTACCAGTTACTGGGTATCTAATATACGTCAGGCACCATGCTGAGGCCTTTATCTTCACGGTGTCACTGAAAAAGTTATTATCATCCCCATTTTTACATATGAAAACTGAAGTCCCAACTTGCCCTAAGTCCCACAGATAGTGACACTGCACATATTCTAACCTAGGTCTGACTATAAAACCCAAGTTCTTCCCATAATATCTTAATGAAATAAGAAAGCTTACATAAACTCCCAGTGATCCATAGATACCAAGTAATAAATAAGAAAGCTCTTCAGTCATGTTACTTTGTTAGGTTTTTGTGAAGGATAATCTGAACCTTAATTAAATCACTGTACAGTGTTTTTCAAACATTCTTCCTTCTATTGCTTGTTGTTACATAATCTGATTCCCGGACCCAAAACAAATTCTCCAGCTAACAGAACCTGTGTATTTGTAAATTAACATTATACCTGCTCCTGCAATGCTTAGTACCAGGAAATCATTAAAAACAACTAAAAGATACAGGAAAACCTTTGCCTCAGAAAGTAACATTTACTATCCTAGTTCCACTGAAGAAAACTTCAATTCTAAGAGGATTCCTAAAAACATTAAAAGCAAAATAATGGCCCTGGCTGGTGTGGCTCAGTGCACTGAGTGCTGGCCTGTGAATCAAAGGGTTGCTGGTTCGATTTTCAGAACCACAGCACATGCCTGGGCTGCAGACCAGGTCCCCATTAGGGGACACGTGAGAGGCAACCACAGATTGACGTTTCTCTTCCTCTTTCTCCCTCCCTAAAAATAAATAAATTCTTTAAAAATAAAAAGCAAAATAATGCACATATATATTTGGTGATCATGAATGCCACAAAGGCAGTAATCATCTGTTTTTACTCCCTGCCACGCTACTAGCTCTTAAGGCAATTCCTGGCACATATCAGGTACACACTAAATATACCCACTGTAAAAATAAAGAGTGAAAGAAAATGCAAGTCTTACCGGAGTTTTCATTCCTCCACCGTCCTTCCCTAGGCCCTCTCCCTTTTTCCAGCCCATCTTTTCCAGCATCTTCCGACCTTTGTTGCTATCAGTAATTTCACTTTTTAAAAAAATTAAGAAAAAAAATTAAGATGGTAGCTGACTTCTAAAACACCATTTAGGTTACATTTATAATAAATGAGTAAGTTAAAATAACTGGTACAACTACTCCAGAAAACTACTTTGGACAAGTTAACACTTACGAATGAACAGATGCAGGAGCATCATCTCTCTGGAAAGTTCCTTCACTTCCAATCTGCTTCCTACGCTTTCCTGCTCTGTCTTTGTATTTCGGATTCTTCAATGCCTTTTCATCTTCATAGTCTGTATTCTTTAAAAACACAAAATATTCATTCATAAAAACCAACAAAGCTGATAAATAAAATGTAATGTCTGTGTATTTGACTCACTTTGAAAATACGGTTCAATGTGGTCTCTATTAAATAATGAATTAAAACCATAATGTAAATAGAGACAACTATGTCACTGGATGCTATTTTTATTCTATCTCCTTTAAGATGTTTGTTATCTGAAATTGTACTATACCACAAATTTTACACAAAATATAAATACGTAAATTATAATATGTAATCATAATGAAATACAGTTTACTTTGACTAATGCTATACACTCATATTCTCATATTAACTACCAGTATTCAAAAAATATGCAGAAACTCTGGGATCGGCAAAAAATCTATTTTTCCTTTTCTCTCAGGACCTAAAATAGTTAAATTACTGCTCCTTAGAAAGGAAAATGCAGAAAGGCTTTTTTTAAATGGATAAAAAGTTAACACTTTTATTCTAGTAATAAACAATAGCTTTTGGTTTCAATACAGCTCCATTTATAAAATTAATCAGTCACGCAAAAAATATTTACTACATAACAAGTGTGTTAACTCCAGGCTAGGTGACAGAATGCAAAGGAATGTATAATCCCCTAAGACATACGTAACCTTCAGCAAACTACAGTGTGATTGGTGCAACCAAAAAGGCACACACAGTGTTGGCAGTGGCACAAAGGGAGGCAGCCCGCTCAGCCTGTGGCATCACAGAAGGCTTCTCTCCACCCTTCCTTATCACCTGCTGACCTTTATATAAAAAGTACGGCATTGCCCTGGCCAGGTGGCACAGCTTGTTGGGAGCATCATCCCATGTAGCAAGGGGTTGTGGGTTCAAATCCCATCAGGACACATACCTGGGTTGTGGGTTCAATTCCCAGCTGGGGTCTGTATGGGAGGCAACCAATGACTGTTTCTCCCCTACATTTATGATTCTCTCTCTCTCACCTCCCCCACTGGCTCTAAAATCAACACACATATCCTTGTGAGAGGATTATGACATTCATCCACAGAGATGTTAGGGGCTGTAGAGCAATTCAGAGAAAGCACCACAGAAGTTTTTACTCAATTTTGCTTTTTTTTTTTTTTAAGATTTTACTTATTTATTTTTAGAGGGGAAGGAGAGAGGGAGAGAAACATCAATGTATGGTTGCCTCTAGTGCATCCCCTGCAGGGAACTGTCCTGCAGGGAACCTGCCTGCAACCCAGGCATGTGCCCTGACTGGGGATTGAACCGTGATCCTCTGGTTCACAGGCCCGTGCTCAATCCACTGAGCTACACCAGCCAGGGCTCAACTTTGCTTTTAATCAGAGAAGAAAAACAGAACCACTGTTCCTAATGAATTGTTCTACCCCAGAAAATACAGAAACCAAGTTAAATTTTTTGAGAAAACATTTTATTCTCTCCTTATATACCTTCTATTTTCCTCCAAAATTAGCCCCTTGATATTTTTTACTATGATTTCTCTTCCTTAGTACAAAAGTAACAACAAATACAATTTTGCAGAATGCATATTATTTTGGCACATCTTTCCCCTCATCTTTACGAAGTGTAAAAAGCACTGGACAAATACACTTAACACCTAGCTGGGGGGGTCCTTAGCTTTAGTTTCTTAAATGTAAACTGAAAATATTAATTACCTTCCTGGTCTACTTACAGGATTAAATTGCAACATTTTTCTACAGCCTTATTGAGGTATATTAACATATATTAAATTACACATAAAGTGTACAATTAGACACTTTTGAGATGTGTATACACCTATGAAACCACCACCAAAATCAAGATAATAAACATATTCATCTCCCATAAAAGTATCCTTATCCTTTTCTGTAATCCGTCCTGTGCATCTTTCTTTCCCTGTATTCAGGCAACCACATCTTCTCTGTCACAGGTTAAGTTTGCTTTCCTGGAATTTTATTAATTTATATACAGAAGTACATACTATGTACTCTTGCTGTCCGACTTCTCTCACTCGGCATAACTAAGATTCATCCATACTGCAGCCTGTATCAATAGCTCATGCATTTTTTATTGCCAACTATTATTTGGCCATATAAATATATCACAGTTTACTTATCCATTCATGATTAACACATAATTTTTTCCATTTTTAGCTATTAGAAAAAAAGCTGCTATGAACATTTATTTACTAGCCTTTCTCTTCAGTAAATACCACAGAGTAGAATGGTGAATCATAATATTTAACTTTTAAAGAAACTACTAAACTGTTTTCCAATGTAATCACAACATTTTATGTTCTCACCAGCAGTATGAGAGTTCCAGTTCCTCCACATGCCCGCCAGCACTTGGTATGGTCAGTCTTTTTGATTGGTTTTAATTTGCACTTCCCTAATGACTACTGATACTGGACATCTTTTCATGTGTTTATCTGCCTTTGTATGAACATCAGACACTTTGATGTGTTTATTTAAATCTTTTGCTCATTTTTTAATTGACTTGTTTTTATTGAGTTTTGACTTCATTATATATTCAAAAAATAGGCATGATTTTTATCAGATATATGATTTGCAAATATTTTCCCGTTCTATGGCTTATCTTTCTGTTCTCTTAACAGTAACTTTGGAGAAAGAGAATCATTGCAGTTAGAGTAATTTATTAATATGTTTTTTTATGGATTGTGCTTTTGGTGTTAGATATCTAAACAAAAAAATTTGCTTCTGAAAGTTTTATAGTTTTAGATTTTAAATCCATCGCTGTGATTCATTTTGAGTTCATTTATATATTGCGTGGTGTGAATCAAAGTTCTTTTTGTTGTTGTTTTTGCATATCGTGGTCCAACTGTTCCAGCACTGTTTGTCAAAAAAAGACTATCCTTTCTGTACCAAACTGCTCTCACGTCTTTGTTGAAATCACACACACATACATATATCTATCTATATGGATCTGTTCTGAATTCATTATTCCATTCCCCTGACCTATCTGTTTATCTTTATGCCAATGTTAACTGTCTTAACTACTGTAGTTTATATTTATAATAAGCCTTGAAATCATGCAGCATTAGTTCTTCAACTGTGTTCTTCTGTGGCAACATTTTCATGCAAGTTTTTAAAAACCAGATATGGCTATTCCAATGTAGGGAACTATCATCCTTTTAAAAATATATTTTACTGATTACTCTATTACAGCTGTCCTAATTTTTCCCCCTTTGCTCCCCTCCACCCTGTACCCTGCTCCCTCTAACAATCTCCACCCCTTAGTTCATGTCCATGGGTTGTGCATGTAAGTTCTTTGGCTACTCCATTCCCTATAAGATCCTTAACATCCCCGTCTATTTTATACCTACAATTTATACTTCTTAATCCCTGCAATCTTCCCCCCATTCTCCCCCTTCCACCTCCCAAATGATAACCTTCCCCCCATTCTCCCCCTTTCACCTCCCAACTGATAACCCTCCAAGTGATCTCCATATCTATGATTCTGCTTCTGTTCTAGTTGTTTAATAGTTTGTTTTTTAGATTCGGTTCTTGATAGTTGTGAATTTGTCACCATTCTAATGTTCAGTTTTGATCTTTTTCTTATATAGCTCCTTTTAACATTTCATATAATAATGGCTTGGTGATGGTGAACTCCTTTAGTTCTACCTTGTCTGGGAAGCACTTTATTTGCCCTTCCTTTCTAAATGATAGCTTTGCTGAATAGAGTAATCTAGATTGTAGGTCCTTACTTTCCATCACTTTGAATATTACTTGCCAGTCCCTTCTTGCCTGCAAAGTTTCTTTTGAGAATCAGCAATAGCGTCAGGAGAACTCCTTTGTAGTAACTATCCATTTTTCTGTTGCTGCCTTTGAGATCCTCTCCTTATCTTTAACCTTTGGCACTTTAATTATCATGTATTTTGGTGTAGGCCTCTTTGGGTTCATCTTGTTTGGGACTCTTTGTGCTTCCTGGACTTGTATGTCTACTTTCTTCACCAAATTAGGGAATTTTTCTTTCATTATTTTTTCAAATAAGTTTTTAATTTCTTGCTCTTCCTCTTCTTCTGGCAGCCCTATGATTTGGATGTTGGTGCATTTGGAGATGTCCCAGAGGCTCCTTAGCTTATGCTCGATTTTTGGATTCTTTTTTTCTTCTTGCTGTTCTGATTGAATGCTTTTTTCTTCCTTGTGTTCCAAATTGTTGATTTTCAGCTTCGTCCCCTCCACTGTTGGTTTCCTACAGATTTTCATTTCACTTAATGTAACCTTCATTTCTGCCTGGTCCTTTTTTATGCTGTTGATGTACCCAATGAGTTTTTGAGCATCCTGATAACCAGTGTTTTGAACTCTGCATCTGGTAGGTTGCTTATCTCCATTTCGTTTAGCTCTTTTTCTGGAGTTTTGTTACGGTCTTTCATTTGAGGAGACATATTTCTTTGTCTCCTCAATCTGGCAGCCTCCCTGTGTTTGTTTCTATGTATTACTTGGAGCTGCTTTGACTCCCTCTTAGCTGAGTGGCCTTTTGTATAAAAGCACACCTTTAAGTTGTATGTGGCACAGCCTTTGGTCATAGCCAGGGTGGGGCAACCCATGTTACCATTCTGTGGTTCTATGTGGAGGAGGGCTTAGAAAGGGGACAACACCATCTGGACTCTAGAGTTTTGCCCAGGAGTAAGCTGTCTCTCGGCACTCACTGTGTTGCCAGTCACTTCAATTTCTCCCCACATGCCACTGGTGCCCTTTTAGCTACTGCCCTGGTACTGAATCCCAGAGAGGGTGAGTCTGTGTAAGTCCTAAGTCTGTTGTGGACCCTTTAAGAGGAGTTTCCTGAGAATCCTGCAGTTTTTTCTGCTGCCCCAACCCCCACTCATTTTTACAGCCAGAAGTTATGGGAACTTATCTTCCTGGTGCTGAAAACCCGGGTTGGGTGGTCTGGTCTAGGGCTAGGATCCTTCATTCCCGAGTTATCCCTTGTTCCCAAATTATCCCTCCCAATTTTTATCCACCACACATGTATGTGGGACCACCCGTTCTGCATCTCTGCACTTCTCTGGGCCACTCCGCATCTTAGCCCCTCGCCGCACCTCTGTGCCTCTCTGCCTCTCTGTTCCTCCTACCCATCTGGATGAACGTGGCTTCCTTAAATCCTCGGTCGTCAGACTTCCATATGGCTCAATTTTCTGACGCATATAGGTGATACTCATTTTGTAGATTAGTTGCACTTTTTGCTGTGGTTGTGCAAGGAGACGAAGTGTGTTTGCCTATGCCTGCACCTTGACCTGCCTTCCTATCATCATTTTCAACCTCAACAGTTGTTAACAATAAACAAATAAAAGAAATTATATAAATCTCAAAGTAATTCTAAATAATTTTACATATAAAATGTACTAAAGGCATTTTTACTCAAAACCAGGTACACAATTTTAAACACATATAGCAATATTTAATATCCTTACCCGCAAACCATATTTTACTCGTATTTTCTTTAATTCTTTTCTCCTTTCCAACTCTTTTTCCTCCTTGCTTAGTGCTGGACCAACTAAAAGGAAAAAGTGAGTTTGGTTTAAGAAGAAAAACTCACTAAATCTGACAGATTTTATATAATTAATGCTTGTATTTAATAATTAATAGTTAATAGTAGCAGTAGTCCATCTGTAGATTAATCAAAATACAAATAAACATTAATATAAAGAAATCTTGGGTTGTGATGATGTAGTTTCAATATTTTGGTAATAAAATCCATTTGGAAAGTAAACCAAAACTCAAAAGATCATAGGAATGTTACAGTATAGATAAAAGAAACACTGAACATCTTAATTTTTTGGTATATTATACAAAAATCCCAAATGCAGAAATACTGTGCATTTGCAAAAGAAATGTAGGCATGCGCAGAAGAAAAGTCACAGAACCTGCGATTCACGTTATTTTGTAATATGTCATACTTAACGTGAAAAAAATTGGTCTTACTCATTTGAACTGTATATTTAAATTTTAAAAGCCTTAGATGAGTGGGTTTAAAGCAAGGCAGCATCTTCCTGCAGTGTTATCTACTATAGGAAATAATGGTATATACACAGATGATGGATCAATGTAAACTACTTTTCCAATGTAAGGAAAGTAAATATATCAGCCAATAACTCTTAATATTTTGGCTTATTATTTTCTGTTACAATATTATATGACAGAGTTTAATGGTAGATGACTTTTTCATATCAGTAAAGAGATTTTAAAATGAAACTAACCTTTATTGTAGTTATGTCACAATTACTCTTCTGAAGAACATTTAGCTACCACTGCAGTGCTGCTTCAAAAGCCAACTAAACTACATCAGCAAAAACAGAGCTAATGACTATCTCCTGGTCAAAAAGTAACCTAACGCTATAAAAGCTAGCTAAGTTATTACATAAAAAAATCAGGTACAATCATAATCAGCTAGCCTAGGTCTCAAGTTTGAAAAATATTTCATTTCTGAGTCTCATTTAATAATATTCATGGAAATATAGATTATCTCAATATAGTATTATACCAAAATTCCTTATATCAAGACATAAAGCTGATAGCTAACCAATACATTTTCAGAACACTCCAGTGAATTTAAAAGGTCTCATGCTCACAAATAAGACTGTGTTTCACATACCAAAAGGTTCATCTTTCTTATCAAGACGAAGGTGAGCTCTGACCTGCCCTGGCTCGCAGCCATCACAGGTGTCACTGCCAGGGTGAATGTGAAAGGACAATACAGTCTCCCCAATTTTCACTTCATCTCCATGCTCAAGTACGTAAGGGTCACATTTAGTTTTAGGCTGAGGGGAAATATCACAAAACAGAAACCTAAGTGTTATATATGATTACTTTATGTCAAATGGAAGTAATATCTCATTGTAACAAAAAAATTTTTTGGAGATGATTCTCAATGACACAGACACACATATGCACACACATATCCATAACTTGATGATCCATGATACTCTACTATTGGCTAAGACAGCTGAATCGAGAAACTGCTGGTTTTTGCATTATCTACACTACAATGTCCTATCTCCATGCCCAGTCCTGCCAGAGAAATACCCAACCCGAACTGCTAAAAATACCAAAACGAATAATCACAGGAAAAAAGGTAAGTGTTAAAAGGATGAGTGTATCATTATTCTCTTTTTACCTCTTCTTTTCTCATGATAATTCAGTTTTATTTCATTTTTATTCTTAAAGACTAAGAACAAGAGCCAAGCACTTTGCTACATATTGAAGATAGAAGAGTTAATTGAGTAGACATAGCCCTTGGCGTCAAGGAGTTAATTGTTTAGCAACATTTTCATTAAAATACATTTTAAAAAACACACAAAAAAGAAGGGCCTCTAAAGTTGCTGAAAAAAAATTTACTTTGAATAGCTTTGAAGTGCACTTATCTCTAAAAACAAGGTATAATTTGAAGTCAAAAGTCAATAGCCAAGTACCCACTTATTACATACTTCTTCAGCCCTTTCTGGGAACTGCCTTCCATGTAACACATTTGGACCTGAACACTCACCTAACCAAATGATACACATAACTGTGGACATCAGGAATAAAAAAATTTAGCTCAACTTTTTGAATAACATGCAAGTAATTAATTAATACATATACACTCACCTGAAGAATCTGTTTTCCATTAACAACTGTACCATTTTGGCTGCCTTGATCCACAAGGACATAACTTTGTAAGTCATGGTCAAAATAAATTTCTGCATGAAACTTAAAAAAAGAAGAAACCAGGTAATTATAAAGTAGCATACTTTTTCTTAACCATAGATAACAATTTCTCTATGATAAGATACAAAGGACTTTAATCTGATATTTAAATTTTATTATTTATTACTTTTTCTGAATACAAACACATTATAATACTTATGGTAGAAATGTGAAGACTACAGATGAAGAAGTCAGGTATAACTCCACCTAAAACTACCATTAATAATTTACTGTTCCTGCTTTTTCTACCTCTATAATATAGTTGGGACAATACTATAGAAACAGCTTAAACTTTTTTTACCTATGTATTTGTTTGTATCATTAAAAATTCTTCTTAATACAAAAGGTGACTTAAAATATTCAAGGTCAATTTCTCAGAGAAATTTTCTAGTTTTTGAATACTCAGGACTAATCACTCTAACCTCACACCTCAGCACTTTACTTATATACACATTATATGAAGTTACTGCACTGTATTGCATACAATTACTGCTTACATTAGTTTACATTTCTGCTCACCTCTCAGTTCGTAATACAGTGCTTCACATATATGGAACATGTATTCAATACATGTCTCTTAAGGCCATATATGAAAGACCTACAGCCAATATCATACTCAATGGGCAAAAACTAAAATCTTTTCCACTAAGATCAGGAATAAAACAAAGTTGTCCACTTTCACCACTTCTATTCAATATAGTATCGGAAGTTTTAGGTACAGCGATCAGACAAGAAAAGGAAATAAAGGGCATCCAAATCGGAAAGGAGGAAACAAAACTGTCATTATTTGCAGATGACATGATAGTGTACATGGAAAATCCTATAGACTCTATCCAAAAACTGCTCGACATAATAAATGAATTTGGCAGAGCAGTGGGATACAAAGTCAATATCCAGAAATCAAAGGCATTTTTGTATACTAACAATGAAATAGCAGAAGCAGAAATCAAGAAAAAACTCCCATTCGATATAGCAAAAAGAAAAATAAAGTATCTGGGAATAAACCTAACCAAGGAAGTAAAAGACCTGTATACAGAAATCTACACAAAACTGAAGAAAAAAATCAAGAAAGACACAAACAAATAGAAACATATACTGTGTTCATGGATTGGAAGAATTAACATCATCAAAATGTCCATACTACCCAAAGCAATTTACAGATTCAAAGCAATACCTATTAAAGTACCAATGGCATATTTCACAGACATAGAACAAACACTTCAAAAATTTATATGGAACCATAAACGAGCCCGAATAGCAGCTGCACTTTTGAGGAAGAAGAACAAAGTAGGAGGGATCACACTGATATCAAACTGTATTACAAGGCCACTGTAATCAAAACAGCCTGGTACTGGCATAAAAACAGGCACACAGACCAATGGAACAGAACAGAGAGCCCAGAAATAAACCCAAGTCTCTATGCGCAACTAATATTCGGCAAAGGGGGAAGTAACATAAAATGGAGTAAAAATAGCCTCTTCAACAAATGGTGTTGGGAGAACTGGACAGCTATGTGCAAAAAAATGAAACTTGAGCACCAACTTACACCATACAACAAAATGAATTCAGGGTGGATAAAAGACTTAAATATAACCTGTGACACCAATAAAATCCTAGAGGAGAACATTAGCAAGAAAATCTCTGATATTTCACGCAGCAACATTTTTATTGATATGTCCCCTAGAGCAAGGGACATAAAGGAAAGAATAAACAAATGGGATCTCATCAAAATAGCAAGCTTCTGCACAGCTAAAGAAAACAATATTAAAATAAAAAGAGAAACAAATGTATGTGAAAACATATTTGCCCATGATACCTCAGACAAGGGTTTAATCTCTAAAATATGCAAAGAACTCACATGACTCCACTCTAAGAAGACAAGCAACCCAATTAAAAAATGAGCAAAGGACTTGAACAGACACTTCTCCACTTCCCCAAGGAGGACATACAGAGGACCCAGAGATACATGAAAAGATGCTCAATATTGCTAGCTATCAGAGAGATGCAAATTCAAACCACAATGAGATACGACTTTACACCAGTCGGAATGGCCATCATAAACAAAGCAACAAACAACAAGTGTTGGAGAGGTTGTGGGGAAAAGGGGACCTTAGTTCACTGTTGGTGGAATTGCAGACTGGTACAACCACTATGGGAAACAGTATGGAATTTTCTAAGAAAACTAAAATTGAATATGCCTTCTGACCCAGCAATTCCATTGTTAGGAGTATATCCTAAGAACCCTGAAATACCAATCCAAAAGAACCTATGCACCCCAATGTTCATAGCAGCACAATCTACAATAGCCAAGAGTTGGAAGCAACCTAGGTGCCCATCAGTAAATGAATGGATCAAAAAACGATGGTACATATACACAATGGAATTCTATGCAGCAGAAACAAAGAAGGAGCTACTACCCTTTGCAACAGCATGGATGGAACTGGAAAGCATTATGGTAAGTGAAATAAGCCAGACAATGAAAGACAAATACCATATGATCTCACCTTTAACAGGAAACTAAACAACAAAACAAACAAGCAAGCAAAATATAGCCAAAGACACTGAAACTGAGAATAGGCTGAGGGAAGAGGGGAGAGAATTTCAGGGGAAAAGGGGAAGGATTCACAGGAACAAGTATAAAGGACACATGGACAAAAACTAAGGGGGGTGGAAATGGAAAGGAGGTGGGGAGCACTGGGGGGGTGGGCTGGGATGGGAGTAAAAGACAGAAACTGTACTTGAACAATAATTAAATTAAAAAATACTTCAAAAAATACATGTCTCTTTAATTGGATAAAGAGCTGCAGAAATATTTAATTAAAATTTCATATACAATACAATGTGGTAGATGGTGCAGCTGTTTTGGCAGGGTCTGGCAGTCTCTCAAAAGGTTAAACCGAGAGTTACCATACAACCCAACCATTTTACTCCTGGGTATATATCAAGAGAAATGAAAAAATACATCCAAACAAAAACTTGTACACAAATGTTCATAGCAACAGTATTCTTAATAGCCAAAAAGTGGAAACAATTCCAATACCCATCAAGTGATGAATCACGAAATGCAGTTATCCATACAATGGAATATTATTTGGCGGCAAAAAGAAATTAAGTAAATATCATCCGTGATACAACACGGATGAATCTTGAAGATATGCCAAGTAAAAAAAACTAGTTACAAAAGACTACATGTTATCTAATTCTATTTACATAAAATGTACAGACTGTGCAAATCCAGAGACACGAAGACTGGTGGTTGCCCAGTGCTGTGGGGGTTGAAGGAACTGAGGGGTGACTACTGCTGACTTTGTTTATTTATATGGTGATGAAAAGGTTCTAAAATTGGTATGATGACTGTAGAACTCTGTGAATATACCAAAAGCCTTTCAATTACACACTTTTAATGGCTAAATTGTATTAACATATGATACATAAACTATATTGCAATAGGTTGTTCTTTTAAAATTTCCATAAACATTATAAAATGTTTCGAACAGACAAAAAAATATATTGAACCTATCTACCTGTGAACAGAATTAATAAATTTTGCCATAGTTGCCTCAGATATTTAAAATAGGTTATCAGTCGATGTGTACCTCACTCTGTCTATCCCTCACCCTTCCTTTTCAGAGGTTTGATGTTTATTTAATCATGATCTTTAAATCTCAGGATTTAAATAAATCCATGTAGCACTCAGGCATGTGTCCTGACTGGGAATCAAACCAGCAACCCTTTGGTTTGCAGGCTGGCACTTAATCCACTGAGCCACACCAACTAGGGCTAAATGTGTATGAGTTTTAAAATGTAAAGAACATATTTTGTCATATTTGTCTGACTGTCTTAGTCTGTCTTTTAAATGTGTTTCTTAACATATAAAGAACTTCAAAAGTATGTGGGGGGTGAGGGTGTATTAATTTTTTCATCTACCTGGATATGTGTGATATAATATATATTGTCAAACTGATTTCACACAGCTAATAAATTATTGACCCCACCAGTGGACATGTTAGTTCAAAAGACAGAAAAAGCAAAACTGCTATCAGAAAGCTACCTATATTTTTAGATTGCAGTGGGGAATGACTTCTTTGCTATTTAAGTCACAGATCATGTTTCCTTTGGGGGCAAGGGAATGAAGGGTCATAAGAAAATTAAATAGCATGATAATTTGGTTAGAGCCAAAATTATGAGGATTTACTTCTCTCTGAATGAGTCTAAACATAGTAAAAATAACTACTTTCAAACTAATAGTGAGAAATTTAATTTCAAAGACAAAAATCATATAAAATATGTATTTCAGATCCATTGTATAGAGCATTAAATGGAAACAAAATGGAGATTAAAGATTGAAAAAAGAAAAACAAACAGGGGAGGAAGAGGGCAGATAACCACACAAGGGAGGAGGTAAAACTACAGGAAATATAGTAAAAAAAAGATACATATAAAGTATAGATGTGGTTCTATACTTTATAAAGTACAGATATGTGTATCAGATACATATAAAGTATCTCAGTGGTTAACCTTTCTTTTTAAAATTATGATTTAACTTGCGACTCTGCCCTTATTGTTTGTTTTGAAGACTCAACTGCTCTTTTTCCTGAATATGTTTCTTTCTCTAAAAGAAACCATTAGAGACTTAACTAGGAAAAACTGTAAATGAAGAGCTCTGGGCAGGGACAGATTGTTTCTGGATTGTAAAACACTCTGCACTCAAAGTAACCATCAACTAAAAGTAGCCTGAATCCAGGTCTGATTCATTCTTGAATTGTCATAATATCTAGCATATTAATTTCACTCAATAAATATCCGTTAAGTGGGTATTACTTAAATACCTAAATTAATCCACTTATTTTATTCCTGCTCCAGATTGTTGAAAGTGAAAAATAATTTAGTTACTTCAAATTGTGATGAAGCATTTTTCTTTTCTCAAGCAGTGGAAAAAACAAATCTGCATTGCTTTTATTAGCATTACCACACTGACTAAAATGGGAAAAACCCTAAGCTTTTTGCCATGATGATTATTTATAAAATTATATCAAGGTGCTATATTTGTAAAAGCAAAGAGCTTACCTTACTGACACCAACTTCAGGAATTCGAAGAGTATGCTCCATATCTTTTTCTCTGCAGAGTTAAGAAAAATGTCTTTAATAATTTTTGAAGCATATATAAATGTAGCACTTAGAGATATGAAAAGAATTTTTAACAGATTTTTTGTTTTAAAAGATGATGTTAAAGATGTTAAACTGCAAGTCTCTCCATCTCACTAAGTCTAGTTTCCTTAATCACACTCTAAATTTTGTACTTGAGGTTCCAGAATTACTTTTATTCTTTGGTACTTCTACCTCAGGCTAACAAACATACTGTAAGACAAAATGCCTTTGTACTAATGTCAATTATTCATTCCAGATCTGCTGACTATGTTCCTATTTCTACAACAACATATAAAGGGAGCACACAGTCCTCCAAAAATTTAAAATTAAGATATTGCATAAAATCTGAATTAAGGATAGATTATCTTCCCAGTTAAGAAAAGGAATTATCCTACTCACAATTAAAACCTATCTCTCTAGCAAGCTGGCTCTGAGCTACAAAGGGGAAAGGAAAAGAAGCAGAAAAGGAAGCCAGTACTGGGTTTAGGTAAGTAATTTTGATCTAAAACAGGCTGTACAAAAGGTAAGAAAATGACAAAATCTCTGGGAAGGGTATTGCCGAGATTTTATCCCTTTACATAGGCAGTCCCCTTTTGGGACCATGAAGTTAAACCCTTGACTGATTTCCAGAAGCACATGACATAAGTGTCAATAATGTTTTCTGAGTACCATGTATAAGTGCTTGAATAACAAGTACCATACACATTTCAAGATAATGGTCAGGAAATGTGTGCTCCACTAGAATAAGACAAATATACACATATAATGACATTAAACATTTTACCTTCCAATTGTAGCAGGGTTTACAGCTGTAATAATAAAAAGAGATCCTGTCTGCAACACTGGTGATCTAATAACAATTACTCTGATACAAGGGGGCCAAATTTTCTCTTCATCTGCCAAGGAAAACAAGTGGGTAAATGTTAATTCAAATGCTATGAAAAAAAAAATGAGAAATGTCTAGGGAAAGTAGTAGGCATCCATGAAATAAAAATGTATTGATCAAAAGGCTTAATTCTGTTTTAAACAACCTTCTTAAATCCTGCTATATGCACGATTAGTAAAGCTTAACACTTACCAATTTACAGGTATTCAGCAAAGTCAGCACATATCACAATTATAAAATAATCATCTCTCTCTTTTAATGTCTTGCAATTTGAAAATATCACAAATGAGCATTTTAATATTAAGTTAGAACATTTAAGTCTACCCTTTTTAAAAATATAAGAAATTCTATTAAGAACAAAATAAGCTCATATACCCTAACATGAAAGCCTGGGTGTTAAAGTATATCTCCATATCCTGAAGTAAAACAGACACACACACACATACAATTTATCATAATACATAGCTGAATTGATAGACTACACTTTTTAAAGTCAATTTGCTCTATCCCTCTCAATTAAGACTTAATACTTACTTTAGGATCAGGCATATGTAACTTACTTTTCTATTCTACTGCATAGACCATTCAAAGCAATGAAACATTAAGGTCCAAGCGTTAGTCATTTATTCACATTTTACTCCCTAAGAAAAAACAGTGGTAGCCCACCTAACTTTTAATGATGTAATTCAAACAATCAGTTTCCTTTTTTGGCAGACACATTACACTACCATTTTTTTAAAATATATTTTGTTGACTTTGTTATTACAGTTGTCTCATTTCCCCCCTTCACTTATCCTCCACCCTGCACCCCCCCACCCACATTCTCCCCCTTTAGTTCCTGTCCATGTGTCATAAGTTCTTTAGCTTCTACATTTCCCACACTACTCTTGCCCTAACCATGTCTATTTTCTACCTACCATCTATGCTACGTATTCTCTGTACCTTTCCCCCTCTCCCCTCCTCCCACTCCCCTGTTGCTAACCCTCCATGTGATCTCCATTTCTGTGGTTCTGTCCTTGTTCTAATAGTTTGCTTAGTCTGTTTTTGTTATTTTAGGTGTGATTGTTAATAATTTTGAGTTTGCTGTCATTTTACTGTTCATATTTTTTATCTTCTTTTTCTTAGGTAAGTCCCTTTAATATTTCATAAAATAAGGGCTTGGTGATGATGAACTCCTTTAACTTGACCTTATCTGGGAAGTACTTTATCTGCCCTTTTATTCTAAATGAAAGCTTTGCTGGATAGAGCAATCTTGGATGTAGATCTTTGGTTTTCATGATTTGGAATACTTCTTTCCAGCCCCTTCTTGCCTGCAAGGTCTCTTTTGAGAAATCTGCTGACAGTCTGATGGGGACTCCTTTGTAGGTGACTGTCCCCTTAGCTCTTGCTGCTTCTAAGATTCTCTCCTTCATTTTCATCTTGGCTAATGTACTTATGATGTGCCTTGGTGTGTTCCTCCTTGGGTCCAACTTCTTTGGGACTCTCTGAGCTTCCTGTACTTCCTGGAAGTCTATTTCCTTTGCCAGATTGGGGAAGTTCTTCTTTATTATTTGTTCAAATAAGTTGTCCACTTGTTGCTCTACCTCTTCCCCTTCTAGTATCCCTGTAATTCTGATGTTGGAGCGTTTAAAGATGTCCTGGAGGTTCCTAAGCCTCTCCTCAATTTTTCGAATTCTTGTTTCTTCATTCTTTTCTGTTCGGTTCTTTCTTTCTTCCTTCTGGTCCACTCCACTGATTTGAGTCCGTTTCCTTCCCATCACTATTGGCTCCCTGCACATTTTCCTTTATTTCACTTAGCATAGCCTTCATTTTTTCATCTAATTTGTAACCAAGTTCAAGCAATTCTGTGAGCATCCTGATCACAAGTGTTTTGAACTGTGCATCTGATAGGTTCGCTATCTCTTCATTCTATAGTTGTATTTGTTCTGGAGCTTTGATCTGTTCTTTCACTTGGGCCATTTTTTTTTTTTTTTTGGGTCTGGTTATGCCTGTTATGTAGTGAAGGGCGGAGCCTTAGGAGTTCACCAGGGTGGGGCAGCCCAGTTGCTGGGTTTTGTGACATTGTATGTGGGGGCAGGGTCCAAGAGGGAACAATGGTGCTTGCTCTGCTCTCTGCCAGATTTCAGTCACTACCCCCACATCCCCCAAGCAAACTGGGACCTTCTGGTGCTGATTCCTGTGTGGGTGAGCTTGTGTACATTCTAGCACCCTGTGGGTCTCTCCAACGAACTTTCCTGTGAGGCTGGGAGTCTCTCCTGGCACCTCAACCCCCACAGATGTTTTCAATCAATGTTTTGAGGCTTTAGTTCCCCAAGATGGGACCCTGGGTTGCATGGTCTGTCTCACTCCCCAGTTTCAGCTGGTTTATCTGTGCACAAAAGTGGGACTACCTGGTCCACCAGCCGCCTTGTGCACCACACCCCTCCATAATCAGCTGCCTTGCTGGGTCCGCCAGCTGATAAGCATGGGGTCTATCAGCCACCACTTTGCAGCAACCCCTCTCCACCCTGCTGCCTGACTCTGCCCCTCTTACGAATCTGAATGAATATGGCTACTTTAATTCCTTGGTTGTTGGACTTCTATACAGTTCAATTTTCTGTTGGTACTGGTTGTTTTTTGCTTCTAAATTGTTGTTATCCTTATTTTGGTTGTGTGAGGAGACACAATGTGTCTATCTACACCTCCATCTTGGCTGGAAGTCTATGCTAATTGTGTTGCTCTGTTTACAATGACCAAACTGGGACATTTATGTAAAATTAAATAATGGTTATTTACTCACCTTCATCCTCAGTATCTTCTGCAGTTACATTATCTTCACTGGAAGTGTCTTCTTCATAATCATCCTCAGTCTGAGAGTCTGTAATTTCACCTTCTTCTGGCTCGCTATCAGTCTCTATGGTTTTCTCATCTTTAAATGAAGTCAAATTATAAATGTTTTCATTAAGAGGAGATTCTATAGACTTTCCAGTCACTGGGACAGTGAACTTGGGGGAACTATTTTTGTTACCAATGTCTATTTTGGACTTCTTTTTCACATTTGCACAATCTTCTCCCTCACTGTAGTTTATATGTTCAATACTGGCTGCTTTTTGATCTTCTGGATTCAAATCCTGGGGAAAGGTGGGTAGGGAGGATAATTTTAAACATGACCATCCCATAATATTAAATGTTACAACGAAATGTTAGTGAAGATATACGTGCAAAGAAGTAACAATAGCTATTATCTTAGCCCCTCTTCTGCTCATGTTACCTTTCTTCGGTAAACACATCACCATCTACTTAGCATCCAAATCAAAAATCTTATATTTGACATCCCCTTAACCACCACATCAATTACCAAGCCATACAGACTATGTTTACAATTTATCCCAATTCTCTCTTTACCTATTTTCAATGCCCTAACTGTCCCAGTCCAGACCCTCATCACATATTGCTTGGACCAATGCTGTCTAATAAAAAAATGATGCAAACTGTATTTATAATTTAAAATTTTCTAATAGGCACATTAAAATAAGTTAAAAAGAAGAAAGTGAAATTCATTTTATTATTTGATCTAACTTAGTATTTACAAAATATTATCGTTTAACATATATTAATATCAATATAAAAACTACCGATGAAATATTTTACATGAATTTTTGGTACTGCCTTCAAAACTGAGTGTTACTTACACTTCAACACATCTGAATTATGGTCAATCTACACTCCCAGGGCTCAGCACCTTACTGGACAGTGAAGGCCTGGAGACTATCTAACCTAAATTTTGTCTTGAACTTTAAACCAATTATTAAGTCAACACATAAAATACAGTACTGGCTTTCATTACAGCAGAGATCTAAAGATCCAAATGTACCTAATGTAGTAGAACAGTAGTTTTGCTGAAATTTAGCACTTTATAAGTTGGTTTGATTATACACAACAGTTCAAAGTACAGGTGAATCAGTTACATCTCTTTTATTCCAAAATTTGAACTTGCCTGGCATAAGCCTTTTGTTGATTATACAATTATATTGGGGATATCTTCTGATATCTGAGCACATCTATTATTTTAAGCATAGAAGAAGCAGAGTTATTGTCCCCTTTTTTCTTTGGTTTGCAAAACACTTAATTTTCTTTCTACCTTGCAGCCACTTGATAAAGTGAATTCATATGTTCTTCTATTATTTTATAAAATATTAAAGTATCTTAAATCCATACTTTTAACAGCAGCATAAATTCAATTTGGAGACTGGCTACACTCAGTATGATGAACTATATACACTTCTAGCAGCATAAACTCACCAAGGACAGGGACAAGAACAAGAGCAAGGAGTTGAACAACTAAGAACTTTAGAGGCCACTGTGAAGTATAGCAATAAGTTTCCCTATCTATGAGGTCTGTCCAGAAAGCATCCAGCCATGCAATATAAAAAATAAAGACATATATTGAAGAAAATACAAGACACAGGAAACACCGTACACAAGACAGCAACGTCTCAGCCCCCCCTTCAAAGTAGGCACCTTGGGACCTCACACAATTCTCCTAATCACCATCAGCTATCCTGTTGTATTTTCCTGAATCTCATCAACAGTCTGAAATTTCTTCCCTTTCAAAGGTGATTTTAGTTTTGGGAAAAGCCACAAGTTGCAGGGTGCCAAATCTGGGCTGTAGGGGATGGGGAATGAGTCACCTAGATAATTTGATGTTTCATCAGAAAACGCTGCACCAGATATAACGTATGAGTGGGTGCGTTGTTGTGATGAAGCTGCCAATGACCACCTGCCCATAGCTGCAGCCTTCTGATTCATCCCAATAGTTTCCCAAGAGAAATGTTCAAGCTTAATGCAAAATTTGATGCAGATTCATTGCTCTCCTTGCTCAGTCATTTTGAATGCGACAGCCACACAGTACACATGCTCACTCAATGGCAACTACCGCCCCCAATGACTAGTACAGTGAAGTTGTCATTGTTCACACACATGCGTTCCAGTCCACTCTCCTTGGCTGCCAGGTTACATCCATGTCGCACAAACCATTCTGGTTATATAAAAATTGGCTGGACTATTTATGCACAGATCTCATATATATACTTTAAAGAAAGCAGTTCCTAATTTTGTGTATTTCATTATTACTGCTTACAAGGCAACACAATCAAGAAAAAAATGAATGAAATTGCCAGAGGTGCTACTTTTTAAAAACTATTTGTCACCTGGCTGGTGTAGCTCAGTGGATTGAGTGCAGGCCTGCAAACCAAAAGGTTGCAGGTTCAATTCCTAGTCAGGGAACATACCTGGGTTGCAGGCCAGGTCCCTGGTGGGGGGCTTATGACAGGCAACCACACATTGCTGTTTCTCTCCCTCTCTTTCTCCTTCCCTTCCCCTCTCTCTAACAAACAAATAAAATCTTTAAAAAAAAACCCTGAATTTGTCAGAATGTTAAATAGTTGTTAAGAGATAACAAAGGGGCCCATAAGTAGGGATTTGAGGCATTTATGCATATTTGTGTTATTTACTCCATTCTCCTCAATCTACTCTCTTCTTTCCCCAGACCCTCTACCTACAAACAATGAACCTCAAGAGTATCTTTAAAAATAAAGAAAAAGCCCTGGCTGGTGTATCTCAGTGGATTGAGAGTGAGCTGCAAACCAAAGGGTTGCCAGTTCGATTCCCAGTTGGGGCACATGCCTTGGTTACTGGCCAGGTCTCTAGTACAGGGTACTTGAGAAGCAACCACACATTGATATTTCTCTCCCGTTTTCTCCTTCTCTTCTCCCTCTCTAAAAATGAATAAATAGATTATTTTTAAAAAATAAATAGGACTTCCAGCCAAGATGGAGGCATGGTAGACATACCAAGCCTCCTCGAACAACCAAAATAAGGACAACAACAATTTAGAAACAAAATAACAATCAAAACTGAGAGAAAATTGAACTGTATGGAATTCCGACAACCAAGGAGTTAAAATAGACACATTCATCCAGTCCAGTACGCAGGGCGGAGTTGGGTGGCCTAGTGGAGAAGGGTCAGGGCACAGGAGGCAGTGACACTGGCACACAAGGCAGCCCAGGTGCCCAAGGCAGTACCGGGGAGGAGTCCCACGTTCCTGCGCAGATAATAGAAGCAAGACAGATCGTGCAACCCAGGGTCCTAGCGCCAGGAAACAAAGCCTCAAAACACTGACTGAAAATACCTCTGGGGGGTTGAGGCACAGGAAGAGACTCCCAGCCTCACAGGAGAGTTCCTTGGAGAGACCCACAGGGTCCTAGAACATACACAAGCCCACCTACCCAGGAATCAGCACCAGAAGGGCCCAGTTTGCTTGCGGGGAGTGGCAGAAGGGACTGAGGTGCAACAGAGAGCGGAGCGAAGTGCCACTGTTCCCTCTCAGACCCTGCCCCCACATACAGTGTCACAACCCAACCACTTGGGTCACCCTACCCTGGTGAACACCTAAGGCTCTACCCCTCATATGTAACAGGTGCAAACAGACCAAAACATTATGGCTCAAGCAGAAGAACAGCTCAAAGCCCCAGAGCCAATACTTCTAAGCGACCAAGAGATAGCCAACCTATCGAATGCACAGTTCAAAACACTAGTCATCAGGATGCTCACAGAACTAGTTGATTTTAGTCACAAATTAGATGAACAAATGAAGGCTACACTAAGTGAAATGAAGGGAAATACACAGGAAACCAGTAGTGATGGGAAGGAAACTGGGATTCGAATCAATGGAGTGGACCAGAAAGAAGAAACATTCATCCACAACAGAATGAAGAAATAAGAATTCAAAAAAGTGAAGAGAGGCTTAGGAACCTCCAGGACATCTTTAAACGCTCCAACATCTAAATTATAGGGGTACTAGAAGGGGAAGAGGAAGCACAACCAGTGGAAAACTTATTTGAACAAATAATAAAAGGAGAACTTCCCCAATCTGGCAAAGGAAATAAATTTCCAGGAAGTACAGGAAGCTCAGAGAGTCCCAAAAAAGTTGGACCCAAGGAGGAACATATCAAGGCACATCATAATTACATTACCCAAAATTAAAATGAAGGAGAGAATCCTAGAAGCAGCAAGAGATAAGAAGACAGTCACCTACAAAGGAGTTCCCATCAGACTGTCGGCTAATTTCTCAAGAGACCTTGCAGGCAAGAAGGGGCTGGAAAGAAGTATTCCAAGTCATGAAAGGCAAGGACCTACATCCAAGATTGCTCTATCCAGCAAAGCTTTCATTTAGAATGGAAGGGCAGATAAAGCACTTCTCAGATAAGGTCAAGTTAAAGGAGTTCATCATTATCAAGCCCTTATTTTATGAAATGTTAAAGGGACTTACCTAAGAAAAAGAAGATAAAAAACATGTATAGTAAAATGATAGCAAACTCACAATTATTAACAACACCTAAAATAAAAACAAACTAAGGAAACAATTAGAACAGGAACAGAACCACAGAAATGGAGATCACATGGAGGGTTAGCAACAGGAGAGTGGGAGGAAGGGAGGGGGAAAGGTACAGAGAATAAGTAGCATAGATGTCAGGCAGAAAATAGACGGGGGAGGGCAAGAATAGTATGGGAAATGTAAAAGCTAAAGAACTTAAGACACATTGACATGAACTAAAGGGGGGAGAATATGGGTGGGAGAGGGTGTGCAGGGTGGAGGAGAATCAAGGGAGGGAAATGGGACAACTGTAATAGGATAATCAATAAAATATTTATAAATAAATAAATAAATGGTGAGGGGGTCTTAACTGGTCCCCCATGCTTCACAACTACCTTTTAGGATCTTCAAGGAATTCTCAAAATTCTATCAAGACTTTTTCTTAAGTCTCTGTCCTAGAGTTCACATATTTTTGAAGAATGATGGTAAAGAGAACCAGTTATAGGCACTAACTGAACCAAAATCTCACTGAATGCTTTGAAACTACATTCTCTAGTTTGTCAGGAAAGGCTTTTTGATGTCCCTTTTAAGTTGTCTTACTGCTTGGGAAAATACTTTTACAGCCTATCCTCTCAAACAGTTCAAGCACCAGTAACAGGTAAGAGTCATTAAAATAGTTCTTGAAAGCAAAGAGAAAAATCATTTTTAGTATTTTAGCCACATACTCTTCTATTTCTTGGTGCTGTCAGTGAGAATAGTAGAGAAATAGAAACAAATCAAATAGAGAACAGAGAACAAATTCAAGGGAATCCCAATTCCATATTTGAACTTGGGCTTTTAAAAAATTTTTTGTATTTGGTTAAGAAGAAAAAAGCATGAGATAAAAATTTAAGAGTGAAGTATCAAATAGCTGCCACAATTTGCAAAATGCCAGTACAACAAATAAGCCTCCTTTCCTGTCTATAAACCATTAATCTGTGCAGTGAGCAGAAATAAGAGCAGTAATAACTTTTTAACTGTTTTCTTCTTTCAATTTAACCCTGTATAACTGCTGCTAAAATTCCCCTCATTTTTTCATAACTACCATTTTAAGACATAGATAATAGTTTTTCAACTAAAATTACTATAATTTTTTAACCAATACCGTGTGAGCCATTTGAACTTTTAATTTTTTTTCTGTTCTTATAAATATTGCTACATAACAAACAAAGACATTTTTCTTTCTTTAGGTTTAAAAAATAAAACAGAAATGAGATTTTCTAGTGGAAAATTACCAACATTTTTAGTTATTGATACAAACATCCAATCTATTTTCCAAAAAGACAGGAACTCACACTCCTAAAAGCCATATCTGCTCTATGACTGCCAGACGGACTTTCTAAACGTTTGCTAACCTGACAGGTGAGGCATCGCCTCCACACGACTGTTTCCTTTCATTGCAACCTGTGCACCAGCATCGACTTAATCAACTAAGGGTCTGAAATTTCTTCCAAATTATGTAAACAAGGGTATTTTTATGTGCCCTAAATCTCCCTCCTTCAAACTTTTAAGAAATTCCTTTTACTTCCAGTGACTGAGAAATTGTGTTCCAGACCCATTAAATGCTCCTTGGTGAACAGATTCTGATTCCTTATTATCTTGATGGATAGATATGTTTGTAATACAGAGTTACTGAATGATTTTCAATTTCATCAAAAATTTTGGCAAAATTATATCACCATTATGAAAATTTTAAAAATTGTGAAGACAATACCTTTTCCTCATTTGTTGTAGAAGAATCTGGATCCTTTCTTTTCTTCTTCAGTTTTTTATCTTTACTTTGTTTTGTGCCAGAAGTCTGATAAGGTTGCAGATCTACTCGAGAATGAAACTGATAGCGACCACTTTCCACATCACAGTAGTAATAAATTCCAGTGGAAGGATCGTAATATAGTTGATTTTCCTTTTAAAGGTGAGAAAACAATAAGTACTATTTATGTAAAATAAAACAGAAAAATAAACTATGAGAATCTCAAACATTCAAATATAGTAAATGTTTACTTTGTAAGAACTACAGTATTTTCTGAAAATAGTAAATAAGAGTATCAGAGTGAAAAATACTTGTAATTTTTCAAAATACTTTACCATTCACTATCTGCTCTAATTTTCCTAAGGCAAAAATAAGTACATTTAAATATTAAATTGAACCACAAAATTGCCAACATTTGATCATTTTTTAACTTGCAAAGATAGCAATTCCATATGGTTCAACTTAATATGTCAATAAAAAATTATAACAAGAAACCTTTTAGAAGTTATGAAACTAAGGTAAGCATCAGAAAAAGCTGAGCATTTGAAAGCAATTCCAGACTTATTATCCTTAAGATTACACAGTAATAATTTGGTAATATAAATTCTGAACCATTCTCTCAATGTCATAAAACAAAGATTTGCCTTTTAATGTTCATGACTAAAAGTCCTGAAAAAATTTGGAAATAAAATTTAAATCCATAAATATTAAACCATAACATTCCATACAAAGATATTGGTTTTTAAAAAATCATCATCTTGTGCCCTGGCCAGTGTGGCACAGTGGTGGGGGTGTGGTCCTGTACCAGAGGGGTTGCAGGTCCAGTCGCCAGACCGGGTGCCTACAGTGCCTGGTCTGGGTGCACACAGGAGGCAGCCAGCTGATGTTTCCCTCTCTCACTCCCCCGTCTCTAAAAACAATGAAAAAAATGCCTGGGCTGAGAATTTTTAAAAATGATCTTCACTTAATTAATTCTACAGTAAGAAACTAAAAACGACTTACAAGTAAAGCACCCACCCAAAAATAACTTTGGCAAATATGGATAAAAACTAAAAAGATAAAGTTATGTAATCATCTGTATTTTTTAGATACTGGCCAATATCTATAACCAAAATTTATCTGAAAGTCTATATTTTCTTTTTTAGCATAAATCCATGCACATCAGACCTAGAAACATCTTATGATGTACTAATATTAAACTAAAAATTCCTAGAAAAGAATAATTTATTTTTCTCACTGTTGATACTATTACTACACTCTATTGTCTTTAATTCACTTTGAAAATCTCTTACAAAAATATTTTGAATTCTATATTTTGCTTTATTAAAAAATGGAATGGACATATTCAAATCTTTATTTCAAGTAATAACAGAACATTTATAACTCAAACCTTTTAATCTCTTAAGTCCTTCAGTCCAAAATAGACATTTTCAAAAATATTTTTACATTAGTAAAAATAGTTAAAAGACGATGAAAACTAGCAAAACAATGGAGTCCCTAATTTAACTGAGAATATAACCTACAGAATATAACCAACCATGTAGAGAACAGATGTCAGGAGGAAAGATACAGAATGGAAGGTAGAAGAATGGCAGAAACTAATGCCACATACTCAGAAACTCTGTATTTTCCTAGAAACCAAGTCAGGAAGCTACTCTCTTTAGTAATAAGAGTTTAAATAATGTTTTTTAATTCTCACCCAAGGACATTTTTTCATTGCTTTCAGAGGAGAAAGGGAGAGAGAGAAACATGGATTCGAGAGAGAAACATGGGTTAGTTGCCTCCTAGATGCACCTGCACCAAGGACTTTTCATGCCTGAACCATGGGATCAAACCCACGACCTAGGTATGTGCCCTGCCCGGAATCAACCCTCAACCCCTCGTTTACGAGACAATGCTCCAACCTACTGAGCTGCACTGGCCAAGGCTAAACATTAATTTAAGATTAATGTAAGCAGATGCAATGTAAGATTAATTTATATTAACCTTAAATTAATGTAAGATTAATTTAAGATTAATGTAAAAAAAAAAAGGTAAGCAGATTTGGATTTTCTGGGTATTAACCAGCATTGTCAATTAGCATACTCCTATGAAAGAAAACCCTCTCTTTACAGAGGATTTACAAAGTATGTATACAAAATCCCTATCTAAGATACTTAGCATTATCATTATGTCCCCTAGGTTAGTTAACAATACTTCCAGGAACTGGAATCTTGAGCATCTGGCCCACTTCTGGGCACTACATTCTATAATTCCTGAGGATCAGATCACATGTGTAGATCATCAAGGATGAGATACATGGGGATGTGAGTTCCATCATCATTGACGTCAAACCCTGATTAAAAATCCAGTTAAGCCTGGCTGGCATAGCTTGGTGGATTGAGCATGGGCTGGGAACCAAAGGGTCATTGGTTCAATTCCCAGTCAGGGCACATGCCTTGGTTGCAGGCCAGGTCCCCAGTGGGGGCCACTTGAGAGTCAACCACACATTTATGTTTTTCTCCTCTCTTTCTCCCTCCCCTATCCTCTCTCTAAAGCAAGAAATAAAATCTTTTTTAAAAATCCAATTAAGTACCAGACTTCAACAGCCAACACACTGTATTATATATCATTAGAAACAAAATAAATCTCACCCCAAGCCCAGAATTAACAATGTCACTTCTTTATAAATTCTCATTAAAAAAGTTCAGATTCTCAAAAATTTTACAATATTGTTAACTGTATGGTTTTATCAATAAATGCTCCTACATTCTGTATGTTTCTTTAGAAATAAAGGTTATCAGACCTCTCTAAAATATTAATTTATAATCACAGTTAATTTATTTAACTATAAACCTAGAAGTGTAATATCATAAGCTATTTTGTAATTCTTTACTCGTCCAACACCTTTGCATCAAACAATTTTTAAATGCAGCTTCTTGCTTTTCTTAGTTCAGCTTAAGGTTTAATATTAGGTATCAAGCATTGAAGTATATAATTACAGTATTAAGAGGTCTCAGATACTTACAGAATCATAATAAAAACCAGTGCTGTGGTCAAAATACAGTCCGGTATTCTCATCATAACTAAATCCAGTCTGTGATACAGCAGCTTCTGCTGCAGCTCTCAAACTTTCAGCTAAAGATGAACCTTCCAAAGATGGATCTTCTGTTGCTAAAACAGAGGCTGGCTCCTAGGTAAGATATTCATGTCAGGTGAGACAAAATGTGCTTATATCAACTTAAAAGTTAGCCAAATTTAAAATAACTAGACTTAAAAGCTATTTTAAATAATGACTTCAATTTCTGCAATGAAAAAAATGACCATCAATTACAGTTTGCTCGACTTCGAAAAGTATTTACCAGTACATCAGTTAATTCAATTGTGACCCAGTTTTGAAGACACTAGAAGACAGTGAGAGACCATTACTCACAAACAAACGCTACCACAGGGAAGTAATCCCCACAATACAGACTCTGAAGCATTCTTTAAGACAAATGATCTAGATTCTTCCATAATCACAGGGCCAGAGGGAAAAAACATTTTAAGAGATGGAGGAGGAAGCTATGGGGTATGTGAGGTTTACTGCATCAGCAGTTGCACTGTATGAACCTCCCTGGGATCCTGGTTAAACAAGCTATAGCCCTGGCTGGCGTGGCTCAGTGGATTGAGCGCTGGCCTGCGAACCACACGATCGCTGTTCGATTCCCAGTCGGAGCATATGCCTGGGTTGCAGGCCAATTCCCAGCAGAGGACTCATGAGAGGCAACCACACATTGATGTTTCTCTCCTTCTCTCCTTCCCTTCCTCTCTAAAGATAAATTTTTTAAAAAAATAAATAAAAAATAATAAAATAAAATAAAAAACAAGCTACAGAAAAAAATCTGTAAAACATTCAGGGAAATTTGAACAATAGCAGGATATATGACATAAAGGAAGTGTGAAAAATTTTTTGTTGTGAACGAGGTTACTGTGGCGGTAGTACAAAATGTTCTGGTTGAGTCGAAATATCCTGACAAATTTTATTTTAGTTTGCATATATCCTAAGTTTTTAGAATACAACAAAGTAGGAAACAAATATATGAACAAGTCATTCTCATTTTTTATTCTCTAAAAATGTAATATTCTGCGTAATTATATACAGAATATTTACAACCTTTGTATATGTTGTGATAGACCAAGTGAGTCAATTTGCATAATAATAACAACGAAGGACAAGTTCTTCGGCATCACGAGTATCATGTTAAACATTTTATTACCTGTGAATTTAAGGCAAAACGGTCCTCTTGTCCACATTCAAACTTTTCCGCTACATCAGTACCAGCATAAGCATCATTTTCTATTTGTGACTGGTCTTTAGAATTATAAGTAGAGGCTTCAATATCCTGATCTTGCTGAACTGAGAGTTCTGTCTCTTTATCTGGAAGACTAATATCCTTATAGTATGCCTGATAATAATAATCTATAGCAAAAACAAATTGTGATACATATTAGAATAGTGTGTGTGTGTATATATTAAAAAAACTTCATTCTAAAAAATTGGTAGTGAATACAAAACAGCACACAATGCAAACAAACCATACATTTACAACTGTACAATTTTAACAGACTAAAATTAACAATCAGGCAAATCTACAAATACTTTTATCTTTGATTCTAATGTTACTTTAAGAACCCTAGCTGTCCAGCTAAAAAAAAAAAAAAGGTAAGCGGATTTGGATTTTCCACAGCAAAACTAAAAAAAAAAGAAAACAAGTAGATAAGTTATATTCTGTGAAAAGAAACCCTAGCAAATATGAACAATTGCTAACCACACACTTTAATAGCATATCAAATGGCAGTGGAATAGAGACATGTCAAAGATTGATTTCTGTCAAATTTCTCTCATGATGCTGACTTTTTAAAAACTATATTATCATACAGATATATAATATTAATGTCATTGATGTGTTTAGCAATTTAGCTAAATTATGTACTAAATGAAACAAGGCAAAAATTAATGGGAAAAATTATTTTTTGTGACCTTCATTTATGAAAACTTACTTGCTAGGTTATTTTGCCTCACAACATAATGTCACAGATGAGGTCATGATTGCAGGCTCACCACTGCCACACACTGAACAGCCTGGCACCGAGCGCAATGCTAAGTGGAATCCATCAACAAGAACACACATGCCCCTGGTTGCACGGAAGACCACAGATGAGAGTAAATGGCTCACAGCACCACAGAAGTTACTCAGTGAATGTGCCACTGGCAACACAGTAGCAATACTAAATATTTATAGGAATGACAATACATTTCTACTTTTGCATCAGAAGAGCAATTAGATTATCTTAAAATACCTAATCATATGGAGAGAAGACAACCTTGTAACAGTTCTCACATTTACCTAGACGTTTGTCTATTTTAAATTTAAAGAAAACTCCATGTTGATATGATCTGAATGTGAGTGCTAGGCTATCTCCACTATCAAGGGAATACCTGAGATTGACCATGGAGGGTGGCTCTCTGTTTGTACTTCTACGTCAGACTTCTTACTATCTTCGTTTCTCCCACAATAGAGTATCTTACTGAGCTCTTCTACCTAAAAGAAAAAAAGGCTTTAGGGAAAATAAATCGTATAGCAATCTAATTATATGCACATCATTCTCAAGTTACAATAATTATTTTTTCTTGGTAAAAGCTTTAAAGAAGTACCAGTAACAGCTAGTTTCTTTTTCAGAAAAACAAAAATCCCATCATTGAATTTCTTTCATCTTTCACATTCGAAGAGGGAGATTTTGTTCCTATTTTTTTACTTACTGATTTCAGAGAGAGAGAGATGCTGCTCCACCCATCCATGTACCCACTGGTTGACACCAGTGCATGCCCTGACCAGGAATTGAACCCACAACCCAAGCACATCAGGATGACACTCTAACCAACTGAGCTACCTGCCCAGAACCAGATGTTTTTAATCTTAAGTCTTATACTTTCTTGTTAAATCTCAAAATTTCCCCTTTGAAAATCAGATTGACTAAATTAATAGGCCTTTGAACAGAATCCTTTATTTCTAAAAACTAACGTTTTTATACTAATATTTTACTTGGTCAGTTCTTTTTAGATTAGAAAAAAAACATTAATTCCCATGCATTGAATTATAAAGTTAATGTACATTTTCCCTTTAAATAGTAGTCTAATGACTGAATGACTGCAGCAGAAGAAAATAGAAGTGACTGCCTCAGAGAGGCATCTATTCTCCCTGTGCCTCACTGGCTGCCAAACCAGAGCAACAGAGTGCAGAAATACCCGTAAGCAGATGAGCAGCCTCATCAACACACCTCAGTTAAACAAAATCTACGAGTGACATATCTATTACAGGCATAAAACTAACTAAAAACCAAGCTTCTAATATTTCTTTAATGATACAAAGCTTAAAAAGGTTATAAAACTGATTATATACAGATTACCTAGGCACTCTGATAAGAGTGCACTCTTATCTAGATTATCTGATAAATTATCAGAACTGCTAGTACAACCAGGGCTAAAACTAAGTGTAGCAAGCAAGGCACCTAGGGAGCTAATTAAGGAAGCACTAAGTTTCAGCTTTCCTGCAAGTGCAGGGTCTATGCCTGAGAACCAGTGCTACCTTAAATTTTTCACCCTAGACTACTGAAGGCCTTGCCCTAGTCCCAACTCTGGAACTACCACTACTGCTGTGAAGTAGATCATTTATTTAGTATTTGCTACATGCTGGGCACTATTTTTGATAGTTTGGACAACATCTTAATTCTTACAACCATCTTACAAAGTAGTTTTCCTAATCCCCATTTTACATGTGAGAAATCTGAAGACAGAAAGTAATTTGCACAAGTGTTTTGTTTTGTTTTGCCTCCAAAACCTGTGTATATTATGTTTTCCAACAATTCACCTTCAATTCTCAACCAAACGTTTTAGTGCTCCAGACAAAATACTCTTTAGTGATCTGGGTGACAGTTAACACAAACTCCACCACCACCGTGGAAGGCGCACCAGGAAGACAGTAAGGAGTAACTGCTATCGCCAGTAGAGATGAGGCCTCCTATGCATTTCAATTTTTCATGTTAGAGCTCTATTAAATTAATACTTAATAAAGATCAGTAAAAAGGCTTTTTTAAAAAGGATCTCTATAACAAGCAATGATTGAACTGGGAATTATAAAAGGATTTTTTTTAAAGTTGTCATATTTTGTTCCTTTCCCCCAAGACATTTTAACAATCTAAATTTGTAACTCCTAGCACAGTCTATATACATTGCAGGTGTTCAAGAACTAGGTGTTGAGTAAACAAACTGAAATTTTGTATCAAGTCATGGCAATTACTCTAAGCAAAGGCACAAGTCATTGCAACTCAGCCATTATTTTCATAGATCATTTGATCATAAAACATAAGTATGATGATATTTTAGGGTTCAGACTACACATGTGGTTTTAGGAAAGGTACCAACAACATATTACAATGGACTAGACCACAGCTGTTAAAATAATTTACTATGGTAAAATAATTTACCAGTACAGTGTGACTGCCAAACAAATCGAGATGGAAAAAATGTGTTATACTGTTTTTTTTAGAAGCGTTAAAATATTTGTCCTTACTGTATCTTACAAAAATAAAGTGAGCTGCTTTGTGTCTCTAACAAAGTTGTATCTTCCCTACTTCCACAAAGGACTCAAAATGATGACCTCCCAGAAGGCCAACCTTATGCATAGCGCTCAACAGTTTGTTCACAATTAATGTGATTTAACCTCCACCTGTGTGGTACTAGCATTCTTATTTTATGGGCAACCGACGATCTGCATCAGTTGACATATCTAGTGATGGGATTTTGATTTAAGTCCAGTGCTTTAACAAACTCAGAAGTGATCTAGAATAAAATATTGTAAATGTGCCTACTGCCAACGGGCAGTAACGAGAAGCGAGAATGAAGACAATCTAAAAGTACAGTCCATTTCACACCAGCCATAACTTCTGCTCACGCACGTTAACCTGAACTTAGGTTTGCTCCAAATGTACTTGGAATTACCATCGTACTGAACTTGTATTTCTTTCAGGTACTCTATAAAGTAGCCCTGGGCCTGCCTGGGGGCCCTTCCAAGACTATCAGAGGCTTCCAAGGCCTGGTCTTGGACTGGATGGGGCGCAGGGCTGGAGGCGGACCGCGCACCTGTGTGCGGAGCTCCTGGTTGTTGCTCTCGGCGCTCTGGTACAGACGCTCTGTGTGGTGTAGCAGCTTCTCGATCTCCCGCACTTGCCGCTTGCAGCTCCGCAGCTCGAGTTCCAACTTCTCCACCTTCCTCCTCAAATGGGCCAGCTCAGGCTCGGGGGAGTTGGGTGGCGAGGGTGACAATGAAGGAGACAGCGCCTCGGAGGCCATGGGGTCCGGCGCGTGGCGGCCCGTGGGCGCGGAGAGGCTGCGCTCAGACTGAGGTGGACGCCAGGGACCCCAGAAGCCATACGAGCGCACGGGCAGCGGAAGGCGGCCTTATACCTGCCCGGCCGCGGCGGCCCCTGACCATGACGCCCCACAGCTCCTAGCGTGTAGCAGAGACCAACTGCGGACAGCCAGCGAGGGGAAGGCGGATGGGCCCAGCCCAGTCCGCCCGGCTTTGAAACAGGAAAACTTTATTGGTAATACCTTCCCCCAGCAACCAAAACAGCCGCAGGATCGTTAAAGAAGTGGGAGGCTCCGAGAAGCAAGAACCGAAACGACTTGGGCGGCTCCTGGGTTGAACCGGAAACGATGGTGCCCGCGGTAGGCGGGACCCGAGACAGAAAGGGAAGCGACGGGCTGCGGGAAGGGCCTCGTGGTGCACAAGCGCACTTCCTGCCGGCTGCTGGGCGTGGGGGTGGGTGCTGTGGGCGTGTTTAGGACGCGGCCCTCGGTCTCAGACTTTTGCCCCGGCGAAGTGTACTACTTGACATCCTTCACTATTTTTTGGTTTTGTATTTTTTATTTTAGTTAGTGGTACCTCATATTGTAATCATACTTCTTGGTTCATAGCACATCCTCAACGCTAGCCTATGGAACTGTTGGAGGAAAGTTGCATGGGGGAAGGAGGGATGCTTTAGTTTTTATTTTGTTGATTATTAAGTTTGAGGTACCTGATGGGTATCCATTATAATTGTTCAGTAAGTAATGAACATCCCAGAAGCCCATCTGAACTAAGAAACAGAAACTAGTGGAACTAGTACTGTGTAAAGCAAACACAAATGGCTCTAGGGACTAAGGAGGTAAACTAAGTGAATGGACAGAGCAGTGAACAGCCACTACTGAGTTCTGGAGAACTGCAGGACCATGTAGGAATGTGCACCCAGTGTTGCCCAGCTTCTGAGCCTTTCAAGAAAAGCCAGAAATCTGGATTTTTTAAATGTGAAATCTCTGTTTAAAAACAATGGTTTAAATTAGATCGTTTCTGTGACATCGTTATTATATCCTCCTCACTGTATATGGGTGCTTCCATACTGCTCCGGCATGCTCTCATTTTTGCCATCACTGCCTTGGCTGACTGCCCCTCTCCTCCCCTTTCTTTGTTTTCTACTCTCTTTCCCTTTAATTTTTATGATTTTGTTTAAAAGAATTTGTGTGTGTGTGTGTGTGTGTGTGTGTATCACTAGTCAATAACAGAGCTGTTTTCTTCTAGGCAATGAATCAATTAAATTCTACAGCTAATGTGATCTTCAGTTTTTTATTATAACTAGTAGATGCTGTGGAAATCACAAAATTGCTCCAATATTTTATCCATCCTGTATCCATATTTTTGTGGTTCCCCTCACTAAAGAGGAAGACTCCACTCCACCTTTGAATCTGGCCAGTTGAGTAAGGTGATTGCCACAACAGTAGATCAGTTCCTAGCCTAGGTCTCCAGAGATGTTAGTATTTATGCTTGCTTTCCTGGATTCCTGACATTTTCATGAGAAAAACATACCCAGGGATGCCTGCTGGTCTCTGAAGGAGGATAAATGACAAGGGAACAACTCGACTGCAGGTGAGGCACTCCAGCTAAGGCCAGCCTAGAGCAGGGGCCCCAGGAAACCCTCAGAGAATTAGCAATAACTAACTGCTAGTGGAGATCAGCCAGCCCTCCAACCTCACCCCAGGCTTGAAAGAACTCCTAAATGATGTTTGTTGGAAGCCACCGAGTTGGGAGAATTTTGCATGTAGCAATAACTAACTAATACCCAACTCGATTGAGAGCCATTGCAGAAGCCTGTGAGTTTCAGAGGCTGGAAATCCAAGTACCTGACATATTACTCTATTCCACAACAGAAGAATATCGTCAATTAAGTGAAACCTGATTTATATCCAGTTTCTTTTAGAGTATCATCAATTCTATATTTAACGAACATTTACCTGTCATAATTTATGTTGAATACAATGGGCAGCCAACTGCTACCTGATCCTACTGTTTGATGTTACACAAGAATTATCTGGAGAGCCGTAGCATTTCAGTAGTTCTGATTTATTGCTCCATATTTTAGTCAATCGACTATTACCTATTTCCTCCCCCTAGAGGCCCAAGGAAAGAATAAGTGGGTGTAACACTAAAACACCCATATGATGATAAAGGAATAAAGCCAAAGGAAACTGGTCAGATCCCTCTTGTCTGCCCCCAACTGAATACTTATATTTTGCACCTTCATTTTATGATTATATAATAATGAATAAAATATTACTACACTATTGTAAATTTTCCCATACTCCCCACCCCAGTGCAATCTATCGTGAAGGATTTAGAAAGAGAAAGAAGTAGTATTAGAGAAGGCAAGAAGCTTATGGAAGGACAGGTCTTATCTAAGACCGGAAGGAGACAAGAGAATGGAGGAAAGAGAAAGCAGGGGGCGAGAGACTAGAATGGGAGCCAGGAAATGTTGCTCAAGAAGAGACAGCATGTATTGCACTGGAAGAGTTGGGCAGGGGGATCAGAGAAAGGACCACTGTGAGGGCTGTTTATTCAGGGACCAAAAACTGCTTGAAAACCGAGCCATCAGAAAGCAGTTCACCCTGCTTCCATTCGAGGGAATGTCTTCATCACCTGTACCAGGAGGCTCTGATAACTGCCCAGCCGTGGGGTCCGTGAGTACTTCCTTCCTTCAGCATCCTCCTTTACAGGTTGCCTAGGAGAAGTTGAGGACCATCCCCTCTCCCCCACTTCTTTGACCAATGCATATAATAGTCCCAAGATATCCACGAACCCATAGGAGAGAGAGGATAGGAGCCCTCAGTGGAGTAGGGATGGGGAACATCTCATATTTGTACTTGGGGAGGGGGTTAATGAATGAATCCATGTTGATGCTGGTGGAGCCTTCTTCCCTCCCTCTTGCCTCTCCCCAAGATAGAGCAATAGTTATTGATGATAATTCTCTTGTAATAATTAAAAATATCTAAGAATATAAGAAAGAAAATTTAAATTTACCAAAAGAACATTAGAGAATGCCAGGAATATATTTTTACCATCTCATTATTTCAATAAGGGCTGGGACGTGACCCTATCGTTTATTTAAATAAATGTCCTTCTTGCTTCTTTATGAGGATTTAATGTGAGATCCTGATTAATGAATATTTAACTAACAAAGTCATGGTATCAATTTGTTGGAACAGTCCTGGAAGAAAAATGACAAAATGTTTGTAAGCCTAATGACTTCTTTATTATCATCATACGTTTATTAAACATAGTCGCTCTGTCTGGTGCTGCTCAGTGGATTGAGTGCAGATCTGTGAAGCAAGGGGTCACTGGTTCAGTTCTCAGTTGGGGCACATGCCTGGCTTGCTCGGGCTGGGTCCCTGCTGAGGGATGCATGAGAGGCAACCACACATTGATGTTTCTCTCCCTTTCTCCCTCCCTTCCCTCTACAAATACATAAATAAAATCTTTTAAAAAAAACATAGTCATGGTATTTTGTTTGGGATTAAATGTACCTGTGTATAAAATAGTGATAAACAAATTCAGATTCATCAATATATGCCCAAAACCTAGAAAAAAAGACAAAGTTGGGTGCTTACATAGCTCATTGGGGTTAGAGAGGACATCAATTAGCATAGGATTAACTTGATAAATTAGTGAAATGGTTTAAAGGCAACTGAGATGTGTGGGGTAGTAAAATAACTTTTCAATGGAGACGGTTTAACTAAATCTCAGCTGCCTACTTAATGTCCTCACTTAATGTTGTCAATAGGTTCTTGGAAACTGCAACTTTTTATCAAAATGACATTTAGCAAAACCAATTGTGCCCTAGGGCAATTGATATAAAGAAGAGTTAAGTTCATATGTCATATTTTTGGTCACAAAAGTATCACCAAACTCCTAAATAAAGGCCCAAAACATTTTTAATATTAAACATTGAAATATGAGCTATACATACATTTACAAAAGATTAATAAAACCAAGTGAGATAATAATTTTCTACCCTGCTTATCCAAGCCTGTCCTGGCAGCTCAGGGCACAAGGTGGGACTCACCCTGGACGGGACACTTCGGTTTTACAGCTAAGGATTGAAGCCTAGAGAGTAAGTAACACAGCCAGTGAGAGTCAGAGGTCGGGTTCAAATTCAGACAGTCTGCCTCCAGAGGCAGCACGCAGAACCACAGGACATCCGTCCTGCATTTGTTATCATCACCGCCATCATTCTCCTCTTGACCTACAAGTGGAAGGTAATTCATGAAGCATTAATGTATACGCACTTGTTAGTTGGTTAGTAAACCATTTTTTTCTACATAATAGATATTTTGCCCTGGTTGGTGTAGCTCAGTGGATTGAGCACAGGCCTGTGAACCAAAGGATTGTGGTTTGATTCCCCATCAGGGCACATGCCTGGGTTGTAGGCCATTTCCCAGCTGGGGACACACAAGAGGCAACCATACATTGATATTTTTCTCCCTTTCTCCTTCCCTTCCCCTCTAAAGATAAATAAGTAAAATCTAAAAAAAAAATTTAATAAAATGTGTATGTTGCATTTGTAAACCATTTGTAAGTATAAAAACTTAAAAGTGAAATTGTTAACAAAAAAGTATATATGGAATCATTCTAAGAAGGTTAAAAGATTAATTGGATGAAATATCTGTAAAAAAATTTAAGAGTTCATCAATAATTTCCTATCTTCTTATAGGACTGAAATAAAAATTGTTTCATTAATCACCCCCACTTGCCTCTCAAGTCAATAGAATGACCAAATGTGAAAGCACTCTGTGAACTAATAAAAAGCCTGTAAGTTATATGTTTCTTATAACCTGACATATTCAAAGTAATATTCAGTTACACGATATAAATAGACACATTATTTGCATGCACATCCCTGGGAAACTTCTCAGGAGTTAGTTATATTCTATCCATGTTGACCGCCCCTTGGAAAGCGGGATTGCTGATTTGACAGACTAACTTCTCTCAAATCCTTTTTACTGAAACTAACTGACAGCAGGAAGAAACACACAACACAAAACACGTTTTGACCAGAAGGTGGCAATAAAGCACTGATATTTCCCAAAGGATCCCGACTCAAGAGCTAACTTCTGGTAGGTGTGCATCCAAGGACACAAAATATGGTCCAGGCCTTCTGATCATCCAGATCCTGTGGGCAACCCCTCACTCTTCCCATGTCCCTGCCCTGGAGGAGCTCGGGCTCAGACAAGAGGTGATGGGGACATAGTGTGACAAATGCCACCATCAGAAAAGCACAGCTCTAGGAGCAGTAATTTATCTGAAAAGTACATCCCCATCTTAGAATTTTCATT